GGGTTCGATTTATCACGTCCAGACTAGACGCGATAAGTCGAACCCAGAAGTTCGATTTCCAGCCGTCGAACTACCGGGTAAGTGTAGCCAAGGCCTTACTGTTAAACAATTAGCACAACAGATGCTGGCTTTCATTGCTGGCTGAAGTATCCTTCTGTGTATAATTGAAATTCCTCTTCTACTGAAGGAATTGTTCTGCTTCAGCATAAGAAGATATTTTTGCACTGCAACTTGCAAGCTCACATGATTACAAACTAGCCAAAGTGCTCTAGTCAGTTAGAAGCAGCGCAGATTTCAGATATACTTGCTTTTCCTGTGTTATCATTGGTGGGTCACAATCACTTTGCCTCGGTTTCCCTATCAGTAAAAAGATACAAATTACATACTGTAGATGATAGGCAGAATAAATGCCTGGTTGTAATAAATTATGAGATAAAACTTCAGATTGGGAAGGGAAAGTATGAAATTAGCAACTTTCACTGACGTACACATACATTTATAGTTATGGAGACAGTAGGAATTTCTAAAAGGTTTTGTATTGCAACACTGGCTCTTTAATTGCAGTGAGACACTGTAGGTAAAGCTCTCTTTTCTCTTAAGAGCTGTGGTGTTTAATGCTGTGCACAATTAGTTTTCCTGTTATTCCTTATTTACACTCCTTTACAGTGTACACGCTACACCTAGTTTTAGCTAAAGAAAGCTAAGTAGCTATCCAAAAATACCACCATTCACTGTAGTTAAGATCTGCTATCTTCATTTAAAGTCTATCATTTGCTTTCCACGGTGGTCATTAAGTGGATGTGAAGAAAGTAGTTGTAAAGACCCTTTTTCCTTTTCACAGCAAAGTAGGCAATATCCTTTCATTATTTGACAATGTGTTTTATTATTTTAAAAAAAGTAGAAATCACGGCTACTTATACAGATCACCGTATTTTTACCTAATCCTTGCGTGTCTGAATCATGAGTAGTCTAGTGAAATCAACGGGACTATTTACTTGAATGAGACAAAAATTTGGTCCTCTAAATATTTCTCTAGTTGAATACAACCTGTTCTAGAATCAGTTACTAAGCTACTTACTAGAATTTAAGTTCGGGTGATTAATGGTTGTTTACAAAAGAACATCTTTATTGATAAGAAACATATGACATGGATCAGGAACATTCTCTTCACCTATATTGACATTCATGTACCCTGGAAGCCTTTTATATGCAAGAAAATGTAAAGGAGTGTACTTCATTTGTTCCAGACACCTCCAACTGTACTTTTATTTCAAAAAGGACCATCATTTTTATATAAATTCACAATCTTTTGCTTGCTCTTACTACAAAGCACACACCAAACTTCCATATAATGTATATTAATATTCCTTTTGCACACTGAACTCGGATACCAAGAAACATGGAACAACCTTCACCTTATTGTAATATTTTTATTTTTTTTTAAACCCAAATGCCTCCATTAATAGATAAATGAAGTGGTCTAACTGATTACATGAAATGATGTAATTCACCTATACCCATTTACTTTTCACAAAGATGAATTTTATAATACTCTATACTCCGGAAAAGGCACAATGCAAGGTAATAAGAGTTGTGGTGCATGGCATACAAAAACAGGACTAAAGTATAGAAATCTGTCATTGCCACATTTTTCCCATTGGCAAGGCTATTCTCTCTTTTCCGATGTCAACAA